GGTGATAAGAAAACTGACCTCTGTGTACACACACAGGTCCTCAGCACCTCTCTTAGCATAACCTGAGTTCTGCTTAGTCCCTGTTAGACATACTGTCTTAACCATACCGGCTTATACTGAAGTCACTCCTTTCATTTGTCATCGAGATGCCCTGCAGAACCAGTTCAAGACATGACATGCAGTTAGGAGTCCATGGGACTCCATTTTCCTTTTGTCTGAGAGGAGAGACATTACTGCTGCCTCTTCACCCCTTCCATCTGGCTGCCTTTGAGCTGGCAGAACAGTGCTTTATTCAGTCTTGTTCAAATCCAGGTATGAACTCAAAGTGTTGATGAGAGCAGGTTTGCAGGAAGAGGTCCCCAGAAGGCTCGAGGAGAAGCAGAGGCTGTCTGCAGACATGCACGTGCCTATTTCTCATAGTTTAAGAGAGCCATGAGAGGAAAGTATGCATGCGTGCCCATAGCAATGGATGTGTCTCTCAAAGTCCTCTTCTGACTATCCACAAGCCCTAACACTGAACACTGAGGGGTGCAGGACAAAACCCCAGAGCAGAGGCATGAAACACAGATCTCAGGCTGAACAAATGTCTTCACTTGTTGCAGAGCTTGCGTAAGTGTTCAACACAAAGCAACTCTAAAACAGCCATGGCGCAAAGGCCTCTTTTCCTGTAACCTCTGTGGTTAAGAGCTTTCCTGGAGAGATAGGACTCTCGACTCCAAAGCACTCCTTGTTGACTTGGGCCAGGGGTTTTAGGCAGGAGTTTTCTCCTTTCCCAAACATCCTACACCGCTGGGCTGTACACAGAGTTGTCCCAGATTTAAAGTTGCTCCATGTTGAAGGCTGCTACAGTAGTCCCAGAAGATACTGGCTCTACAAGCAGATTCTGAGGCTGGGCAGCTGAGATACAGTTCTTGCACAAGTGCTTTTTGGTACTTTCAGACATAGGGAAGCAGAACTAATGGAAGGGAATTCAATCTCCTTTTTTACGTTTGACATGCTAGGCAGTAAATAATTGTTTCTGGGAAATAGCAATATATATTTAGATTCCCCCAAGCAGAGCTGAATGTGAGTATTTTCCCTCACCAGAAACAATTATGTAAGAAAGACTGGACAAGTCTCTTCTTTTGATGACTGTGTGATGAGCTTTCCTTATGATCTTCCCAGAACTACTGCCTCACTGTGGGCTTGTCCTTTTTCCTTCTTTGGAATGACAAACCAAGCACAGACTTGAACATGCAAGATGACTGGATACAACATCACAGAATCATGACAGCTGGAAGGACCTCTGGAGATCATCTAGCCCAACCCCTCAGAAAATATAAAAAACCCCAAACAAACCAACCACAAAAAAAGGAAAAAAAAAAAAAAGAGACATAACATGTGAAGACCTGTGAAGTTCCTTTTCCAATGTAAACCCAGACCTCCCCTTCTCTCCTTGTCCAGCTCTGCACCTGCTGCATTCTAGTTAGGCTCTCACCAACCTTTGATAACTGAACCTTGAAGTCTACAGGGAGGAAACAATCCCTCCAAGGAGCCTCCATGTTGTTAGCTTGTGATCATACATCCCCTGGGCAGGACTAATTCAAGGCCACACTTGAAATACTGTGTTCACTTCTGGACCCTCACAACAAGGAAGACATTGAGGTGCTGGAACATATCCGATAAAGGGCAAGGAAGCTGGTGAAGGATGTGGAGCACAAATGTGATGAGGAATGGCTGAGGGAACTGGGGCTGTTTAATCTGGAGAAAAGGAGGCTCAGGGGAGACCTCATCACTCTCTACAGCTACCTGAAGGGAGGTTGTAGTGAGGTGGGGATCAGTCTCTTCTCCCAGGTTACAAGCGACAGGACAAGAGGAAGTGGCCTCAAGTTGTGCCAGGGGAGGTTTGTGTTTGATATTAGGGACATTTTACTCCCTGAAAGGGTTGTCAAGCATCAGAACAGTCTGTCCAGGGCAGTGGTGGGGTCACCGCCCTGGAGGAATTTAAGAGAGGCGTAGATGTGGTGCTTAGGGACATGTTTTAGTGGTGGACTTGGCAGTGCCAGGTTAATGGTTGGTGCTGATGATCTTAGACGCCTTTTCCAACCTAAATGATTCTGTGATTCTGTTGTTTCAGGCCAAGGGGTGCACTGCTCCCTATGAGCTGTCAAGACAGGAAGGAGCATAGCTACATACTATCCAGAAGATCTTTCAAGCAGACAAGGCCCTTTGTGCCTCTCACATGGAGACCATCAGTCTCATTGCCAATAGGTAGACTTGTTACGGATATAGTAGAACATCAATGCCATAGGCTGCCACTATTATTAAACTGAGGGTCAAATGAACCTGGGCACAGCTCCCTGCCTGCAGAATCCCTTCTTTTCCTTCCAGGAAAGGCCAGGTCTTGCAGATCCAAAATACAAATACATTGTAAGGGACAGCTGTGTCCTACCCCACTAGAAATCCAAAGACAAGACAGATAGGGGACCTGGTGGTGTAAAACACAACTCAAGTTCTCCGTGGCAGTTAGAAGAGTCCTCCTGCCACCCAAATGGGTGCTCTTTAGAAACACTCCAAGTGATATCACAGGACACTGAAAGCTTGGGGTGGCTGCCCAAGGTTTATATTGCTCCAAGTGGCAACAACTTGGCCCCCATAAATATTGTCTGCAGGTGGGGGCTGGTGCATCTTATTTGTAAAGACAATGTTGCTCTTAATAGGCTTTTTCTTTTGGGTCTGTACCAAGGGAAGAGGCAATAGGATGAGGTCCTCCATCTGGCTGAGAAGGGCAGACCCATATGTCCCTGGATGATTAACACAAATCAAAACCAGGCCCCAGTTTCCATACCATCAAAGGAGGAAAAGACTGGACCTAATCACTTTTCACCCTGGGCTCTGAAGCCTTTGTGCAAAAACAAAGCTTCTGAGCCTTAGCCAGACAATTAATTACATTAAAGCTAACACAGTACAGATTAAAGCTTTTTGTTCTGTCACTCCCCACCCCACAAGAGGATCTAAAACTATCCATCTCCTTTGACTCCTGCAGCATGAAAGAGCAGATACACCTCAAAATGAAGATCAAGTTAGTCTGTTCTCAAATATCCATATAACATTATCATTTCATGTATCCAAAGGCATCTGTAGCTTAAAAATCAGTGGATGACAGCTCTTCTGCATAGTGGGAAGATCATTTGCAAATTGCAGAATCCTCTGTCTGTGATAGCCAACTCTAGACCACCTCAGAAATGGTCTGGCAACTTGATACCTTGTTTGTGAAGTACCAGAGTGAATTTTGGGGGTGTTGCAGAGGCGCTGCCACTGAAGATTCTTTCACAACATCTTAAACTGTTTCTGGGGAAAGGCTTAATGAGAATTCATTGTGCCTTTGGATTAGCAGACCACTTACAGATTAATTCGATCTAACTACTTTGATGTAAAGCTAATGATTGCTTTGACTCTTTAAAGCTGTATTACTGCTGTGATTATTGACATCAAGGTGGTTCCTCCTCTTGGCTGTGCTCTTTGGGATTAGGCAGAGATTTGCAACAGAGAATGCATCAATGAGCCCGAGTTCTATTGCCTGAGCAGCTCAGAATAGCTTTTTCCAAAGCCATGACTTGGGTTCATGAGATATCTAAATAAAAATATATTAGATTTCTTTCTGTTCCAGTCAAAGGCAGAGCTAATGCCAGCCTCAATCACAGAACCAGGTCTCAAAACAGGAACAAAGGCATATTTGCAAAGCCCAGTGCTATGATTCCTCTGCTCTACCAAACTTGACCATGGTAAAGAGCCCAAAGTCTGCTTGTCAGTGACATGCATCTCCCCAACCCTACCAAAACTGCTCATGACAATTAAGAAGATAAATGCTAAAGGCTAACAGTCATATAGAAAAGAATTAGAAAATAGGGTGTGAGAGCAAGACCAGCTGGTGGACATCACCAGATGCCAAGGTAGGTAGGTGGTCTATAGTACAACAGAAGGAAATGCCTTTGCACATATGTTTTTTAATGAGGTGTTAATTGGGCATTGGGTGGACAGGACAAAGAAGCAACTGAGGATGTGGCTTGAGGTTTTGGTTGATGCAAAGCAGGAGGCCTGGAATAAAATGAAAGCTGGGCTTTTATGGCCTCTTGCTGTCCTTTTGTCATTTGCAACAGGAGAGGGACACCAGGTGGGCAGGCAACTCTGCTCTGAAATCATAGCTAGCTTTAGGAAACCCTCCTTCTGCTGGTGGTGTCTCTAAGTACTCCCAGAGCACTGGCTGTAGAAAAGAGATTTCTAAGATGCAACAGTGGAAGTGGGAAACACTCTAGCTTGTCTTCGTCAGTCAGGCAACAGAGGGAGATGGGACAGCATGCCCACCCAGGAGTAGCTGAGTGGGTGCAGGATGGCTCAGCACACAGACCTGGTGCCAATAATTAGCACATCTGAAATTGATGAAAGAACCCAATAGGAGATGATTACTTTGCTACCCACATGAGAGAGCTTTCTCCCTTCCTTCTCCCTCCAGCTTTACATCTGGTAACGATTTTGCAGCTCAAAATAGAAAGGAAGGCTTAGCCGAGCTTAGGCCTATTTGAGGAGAATAGAGAGAGTATGTCAGAGGGAAACAAAGAAGTGTTGTTGGAAGAATGCTTTGTTTCCTGTACCACTGGTGTCACACTGCAAAGGATCTTGGGAGAACTGATGGTGAACGGTATCTCCCATACTTTGCCTGGTGATGGTAAGTGGGCTCTGGGTATAGCAATAAGGGCTGTAAACCCATGACTAAGACTCTTTCACCCTCCTGACCCCTTGGCATCTGGAGCTCTGGAGGGGAAGAAAGAGGCTGTGACAGTTTTGTTTCACAACACCTTGTGTTAAAGATAGCCTAACCTGAAAAAAAATATATTGAGCCTTCTTCAGCTACCTACCTATATGCTCTGTGTGTGGGACTAAGGGGAAGGGCTGCATTGGAGCAGAGAGGAGCCTGGGCCCAGCCCCAGCCATGCAGTCTGGATTGCTGTGGGAACACTCACCATGCACCTTGGGGACCTTGGCTTTGAGGTGTCGTTCACACTTAGCCTTGGCTTTTAGCAGTAGGAAGATCTGCTCCTCTTTGGTAATGACATCATCAGCATCCACCTGCAGTGATGGGGAGAAATGAGGTCAAACCTCAGCACGTGAAGAGCAGCAGGACACAAACTTATTAGATAATGCAAATGATCTGAATGCATAACCTCCTTTGCATCAGCAGTTTCCTCCACCAGCCTTACTCTATGTGTATCTCTGTTTGCTCAGCAGTCAGTGTCCCAAGCAACACCTCTTACAAGATGCCACATGGAATCATCCGTGTACATGGCAAAGGAAGCACACGCTGCAATTATTCACATCATACACATGCACACACAAGAAACCAGCAATTTCTGGGCTGGCATGCCCCAGCTTGCAGGGACAAGACTACTGTCTAAGAGGGAAAAATATCCTAGTAAATAATATTGTAGCAAGGACTCCTTTCTTCCTCTTAAAAATTGCAACCTGCCACCATCAATGCAGCGCTATTTCCATCTCTGCATGCAGGCAGGCCTTCAACCTCTGTAAGTCCAAGAACATGTGCAGAGAGGGCTGTCCCAGGCAGGCCTGTGAGCTGACAGCAGCTGCCCCCCAAAGACGGAGGCTCTGAGAAAACCGTGTGCACCATCCTGGGAGAATTAAGTTTCTCATCCTGTAAGATCTCTAGAGGGCAAGGAACAAGAAAAGGGGGGGCAGGTAGGGTCCTGTTTTACCCCCCTCTGTTTGTTTCTTCCTGATATGAGATATACTTGGCTCTCAAAGGCACTCACTGCTCATCAAAAAAGAGAAAAACAATCTTGCTTCATAAGGCTGGCACATTCCCATCAGGAATGGCTGGCCTCAGTAATCTGGGGGCACCACCATGGGGAAGGCTTGTTCTACAAATGTTATAGAGTATAGAGCTTTGATCTGATGCAATATGGCTGCTTTAATTTTCTGCTGTGCTTCTTGGGCACTTAGCCTGTATGTCCTACTCAGGAATCCATGACCGGTCCCACTGCCAGATAGAACCTGAGATTAGGAAGACTTCTTGCATGTCACTTTGTCAGGAATGCATGAACATTTCACTGTACCCATCCCAGGTACACTGAGGTGATACTGCCTTTGTTCTTTTCTGCTTCCCCACCCTCCCCTAAAAAAGCTGTATACTTAACCTTCTCCCACATTCATTTTTTGCCCTAGATCTCCATCACCACCAGAATGGGTGATGCTGATCATACCCTGCAGGTGCTTTGCGATTTGCATCATGTAAGGGAGTGAGGAAAGTTGGGGGCTATATTGATCTAGTGTCAATCCTCCTTTTCAGGCTCTGACCTGCAGCACCTGACCACCCCTGTGAAACCTTTGAGGTTTGGGTCCATCCCTGGAACTCTGCCAGTCATGGCAGAGTGTCTCTGGGAGAAATCCTCATACACAAGATTGCCCCAAAACAGTTCAAAGCAAAGAATAACCATGTGTAACACTTTGTAGGGCTCCTGAATTAAGGGTGTTGATAACGCACTATGACCACTCTTCTCATTGCCTCGGTTTCCCTAATATGTGTCTGGTTTGATTAATCAGGCTATAAATGCAATGAGAGGAGATGTTGCCTCTGGATTTGTAGAGAATTTAGCACACTCACTCACAAAAGCATAACGTAAGCAAGGGCTGCAATACTGGTTTATAGAAAGCAACTTTTATTTTTCTTTTATTTTATTATATTGACTGTGCTGGTGGGACTGGCCACTGTAAATGTGCAATGCAAAACCTAGGGTAGTGCTTCACATCCTGATGGATGAAGCAGACTTAAACCTCAACACATAGTACAGGCAGGCAAAGGAAAGATTACAAAACCTTGTGTAGACAGCTGTGATCTATAGATGAGAGGGAAACCTGTTGATGGGTTGTAGAGCCTGCTTATGGAGCTGGCTGCTCATTTCAATTCCTCTGAAGCACAGACTTGAAGGGGAGTTATGACATTTTGCTGTACTCCCCCAGAATGCTGCTATTCAGAACTAAGGTCACTTCACTCAAGTTAATTCGTTTTGGAAAGCAAGTAAGATAAACCAGCTGAAGGCAAAGCAGTTCTCGAGCAAGACTTATTACAAATGACATAAGGAGGGTTAATGAAATCCAGCTTAGAAGTAAACTCAGATACAATTTCCCAGAGTGCTCCTATGGAGAGGGACAGTGTATGTTTGAGCAGCTGGTGCAGCAATGGACACACAGATGGAGAGCTAGATCTGATAAGGGGACTCCGAGTAAAACAGAAGTTAGTTTTTCATGTCCCTGGAAAAAATCCACACTAAAAATCCTCCAGAAGTGGGAGTTGGTTTCAGAACTGCATCAACATTAATCCAAAACAAAGCCATCCTTTTCCAGATGTTTGGCCTGTCCATATTTAAGGCAACATCCCACATTTAAACTCTTATTGCAAACATGAAGCCTCTGGGTCAAATTCTGCTGTCATTTATATCTGCACAAACCTTGAGTGATTCCACCAAAGCTGGGGGAGTTATAGTCTGGATTTACAGTGGCCAGAGTAGAATCTGACCTTAGGCATTTTAAATGATTCATCCTTTGCATGCTTAATCCTCCGGCTCCTTTGGCTGTGCTTTGAGAGTAGGGCCGCTCCCAGCCAGAAGGACATATGGTCTCCAGGCCAGGACAGAAAATAAGTTTTACTTCCCAGAAAGGGAGATAAAGTCACCGAGCACTGTCGGAACTGGGCAGAATGGCCGGGCCAGAGCTCTGAACCCAATCCTCAGGACCCAAAGGCTCCTCAGCCGTCCTGAGCCCTGGTTACTAGTCTTAAATTTAGAAAACCTGCCAGACCCTTAAAAAAAACAACAAAACCAAACACAACTCCTCATTCTCTCCCCTCCCCCAGAACTTGTTCAAATGCTAAGAGGTATGTTTAGGACCTATCTTTCTGTGTTTCTCCTGGGTCAAAAAGGCTAAAACATGTCTGTAAACAGCTATATGAACAGGAATAGATTTTCATTTGGTCCTGCAACTTGAAGGAGACACCTATTCTCAAGAGACTTAGGAAAACTATGCAGTCTGGCAATGCTGCTCCTTTGGTCCTGAATCATAGAATGGTTTGAGTTGGAAGGGACTTTAAGAGCCATCTGATTCCAATCACCCTGCCATGGGCAGGGACACCTTCCACTAGAAAAGGTTGCTCAAAGGCCCATCCAACCTGACCTTGAACACTTCTAATGATGGAGCATTCACAACTTCCCTGAGCAACCTGTTCTAATGTCTCACCATCCTCATAGTGAGGAATTTATTCCTCAGATCTCATCTCAATCTCCCTGTCTGTCAGTTTAAAACCATTCTCCCTTGTCCTGTCCCTGCCTGCCTTTGTCAAAAGCCCCTCTCCAGCATTCTTGTTGGCCCCTTTAGGCACCGCTCTAAAGTCTCCCTGGAGTCTTCTCTCCAGGATGAACAACCCCAGCTTCCTCAGCTTGTCTCCTTAGAAGAAGTGCTCCAGCCATAGAAACATCTCTGTGGCCCCTGCCTCTATCCCCTGTTAAACCTTCTTCTAAGGCATTTCAATGCATTAGCCAAGCTCTAAGCTCTCCAGGGGCAGAGGATTGAGCCGTATGCTGCCAGATGAGATACCAAAATGACTCAGACTTGGGTTCAAGAGACAGGAGTTAGGATAGAGCAGAGAATCACAGCTGAAAACCATAGAGCAGCTTAGGAGTTGTTGGCTACTAGAACACTTTTGACTGTTCAATACCACTTTTTCCCATGCATCTGATTTTCTTGCTCTGGATATTCCAATCTTAAGGCAATGCTGCCTTACTCATCCTTTCATCCTGGCTGTCAAAAGTTAAAAGAAAGCCACAAGAACATTTTCTTTACAACACAGATGCACTCATGATATTAGACTTACTTGCATCTGGCTCAGCAAAACTTTTTCTTTAACAAACAGTCTCAACACCTGATCCAGAAATACCGTGGGACATTGGGATTGCTAAAGTAATTAGCAATCATGAATGCCAACTTCTTGGAATCTGAATGTCCCTAGGCAGAGAAATAAGTGGCTTCATTTTCAGACGTGCTGTGGTACAGGCTATAGGCATTCGTAACAGGTGGGAGCTAATGCTAGTGAAGCAGTCACTACTTTGGAGTGGATTTAGATCCCTTGCGTTGGGAGAAATGTGGCCAGAGATACGTCTGTAAAACACTCAATGGTGCAAAGCTGAGCAGTCACAGATTTGCATAATTTGAAACCTGTGAGGCACAAGATAAAGAGAAGGTCTAAAAGGAATAGAAAAATGCATGTAAGCCAATCATAACAGTGAATTCAAAATAGGATTAGACAAATTAATAAAGAAAAATATCCATCAGTAGCTATTAAAAACTGTAGCTTGGATACAAACTTTCTGATGCAGAAATTTTCAGTGATCAGCAATCTTAAACTGCTGATCACCAAAAGCTGGAAAGTGACATCTGTAAAAGCTGTCTCTTTCCCTAAACATCCTAAACTAGCAGCTTCTAAGGATTGTCTGTTTTGACAGAAGATTGACTGAATAAGGCTGTTTCATATAAACCTATAGGCTATTTTTCTAAATCCAAAGAAAGCTTGTGCATTCTGAGCATGCAGGAACATAAACATACATCCAGGGTTTGGTATGATTTTACATGTTCAGCACAATCTGCATTCTCTACATCTGCTGCTCAGGACCATGAAGCAGTAGATAAGAGGTGCTAGAAGTGCTTCATTTGGGTGAGCACTGCAGCCACAACTTGCAAAGGCTTACATATTCAATATTTCACTCACCTTTAACAAAAAAACCTGGCTATAAGCCTACTTATCTGCAGCCCCAAATTTTTCATTCTGTAGCTACTGATTAACCAACAGAAAAGAACAACCACCACATGTACTTATCAATACAATGCCTGCCTTATTGGCCAACTGGAAATATTCAGGATAAGATTTACCAGTCTGAAGTATCTACCCAGAGTTCCCCTTATAGTCACCAAGTATTTAGAAACACAGATCAGCTGAAATTCATTCCATCCTCAAACCACCACCTAAAATAAATCAGATCAGCTGTGGGGATTCTCTCTCCTCTCCCCCTTCCTCTTTTTTTCCCCTTTAGGCAGCTGACAACTGCAGTAATTGGTACCACTAACAAGACTGAGATTTGTGGTGTTTAATTGCAGAGCTTTAGCTGGCGTGAGCTCTAGAAGCAAGAAAAGCATCTGAGGTAGGTCAGAAGTAGTGTCACAGGTAGATGTATCTCCCATATTCATCTATTTTGAAGTATGAGATCAAGGTCATTGTGCCCCTGCAGAAGTTAATCACTCTAAAAGAACTGACAGCAAATTCCTTTTCATGAGTCCTCACATAAATTTTTTCAGTGTAAGTTCCTGTGCTGAGATTGCTTGCCATTATGTTTATACAAGCTGGAAGGTATAGACAAGTTATTCAGGCTGGGCACCTCACAGCTGAGTGCCAGCTTTACACTTCAGTCCTGCTGCTTCAGACTAGCTACAGCGGGAAGAGATGGGGCTCCTTTCTGGCTTCCCCAGCTTTGTGATCAAAGCCCATCTGCTACTCTTTCCCAATGGTCGTCACCTCTCAGTTTCCCAGTGCTGTTTTTTGCCAGGAAAAAAAAAAAAAAGTGTGTTTTTTTCTCCCCCTTTTTCAGAGAAAGCAGAAATGCAGAGCAGGAAGGAGGCCAAGCAGGGAAGGGTAGAATGACAATGCTATCTAGAGGCTGTTAAATCAGTTTTGGTTCAGCTTTCCCTCCCCTCATCCCCCCCTTCCCTTGCCCCCAGAGGAGGCCATGGGGTATTATGATAATGTTTTCTAGTATTTCCATTTCATTGGCTAATCTCCCAGCCCTAAAGTAAACCCCAAATCTCAACGGGGAGGTCATATTCATCCTTGTTTATGGGACTCATTTTCAGAAATAACACTATCCTTTTTGTGAAACTTCCCTGGCAGCATCTCAACAAATATCTGAAGGCAAACAGATTCCTTGGTTGGGGTTGAGAGCATCACAGCTGCTTGACAGGCCCAAGGTAAGGGGTGGCTGGTGATCCCCATCTTGGACAGCAGTAGACAAGGTAATTGCTGGGTGTGAAGCAGAAAGAGGGTGCAGGCAGGAAGGGAAACTGGGAAAAGAAGGAAAAGGTGAAAATGAAAGCATCAGTGCTGGTGGAAAAGGGAGGTGGGTCCCAAGGGTGGGGGAACAGGGTGGGACATTGCTGGATCTGACCGTGCAGGTCACACTCCAAACCAGCCCTGCTGATTCTGGTGATCACCTCTGGAAGGTGTGATGGTACTGCTGTCTTTTTGTGGAGTGAACCTGATGGACTGGTGTGGGGACACAGAGACCATCATTTAGTCATCTTCGCGGAGTATGACAAAACTTATGTTTTTTCTCTAACAGTGCCTGGGTGAAGGGATCAACTGAAACACCAAATGAATCAATAGAAAATCATAAACAAAGTCCATTTTCTGTAACAGAGACTGCAGTTGAGCTGAGGGTATGAGTGGGAAGGAAATAAAATTAGAGCTTTATTCCGGCCTTGCTAAAGGAACAACTCCTCTCCTAAACTCTGTAAGGGTCAAGATAGCTGTTAGAATTAGAAGATTAATCTAATCTAACACAAGACCTGCACCTGCTACAGGTGAGCATACCTCTGCTGATATCAGAGCATCAGGCTGGGCTGGAGACAATGCGGTGTTGATGCTAGGCATGCAGACAAGGATGCATGACTAAATGCCATAGAGTAGGGATTCATCTGCCTTTGGCAGGAGCTGATGTAGCCATCACCATGGGATGAGCCAAAACTGTGTCAGTCAGGAGCTCATGGCAATGGGGGATTGCTCAGAAGCAGGAAAAGGTGGCAGTGTGGAGGTGGCTGGCAACACAAGGCATTGCATGAGGTTGGTCAGTAGTGGGGTGGCAACATGGGATGGCGTACAGCTGAGATTCCCATCCCTGGGTGGTTTTATTTTTTTAGTAAATGGAAATGCCTTCCTTTAGATGAGAGAGGATGGATTCTCTTGATTATTTTATGATTGGGCTTAGATACCTAGTTTGTTTTCTCTGATTTCCTATACTTTGTAAATGAGTGTTTGCTCAAAACCTGCATCTCCTGGCCACTGGCTCCTGCTGATTTACTCAGGTCCAGATGAACCCTGGCAAGTATGGAAGGACTAGGGATTTGTATGCGCTCTCTTGGACAAAATGTACCCTATGCAATCTCTGTTACTGGGTCTGCTGCCAGTCCTACAGCAAAGTAGGATCTGTCAGGCTGTAACTCAACTGGTGATTAACTGTGCTCTGTGCCTGGCTGTTTTTCACAGAAGAAATACAGGTATGCTTGTGATTGCTGGATTTGCATGCTGGCTTTTGCAGACACTCAGGACAAATGCTCCCTGGTAAGCAGAACTCCTTGTTGGGTTCAGAAGGAGATCGTGACCCCACCACTTGACTCTGGAAACTGGCATTTCAGGCAAAACACATCCCTTGCCCTCTAAAAGCTCCTCTGGGCTTGTGCTTGGACTGTATGGGTCTCACACTTCATATTTCAGCAATGGCTTACAGCATTTCCCTTGTGGAGAAACAGTGTAGGGTAAATACAGATAAACTGTGTTTACTCTTTCCTGATTTGGGCAGTGCTGGATTTGCCCGCTGCCCAAATAATCTAATTCCCTTTCTTAATTTCCTGCTACCTCTGCTCTTCTTACCTTCTGCCTGCATGTTGTCAGTGCCTTGGCATAAAAACCGTAAAGAAAAAAGGAGATGACAACTAAGACCATTGCGGGGCAATTTGTTGCAAAGAGGAGCTAACTGAGGGAGGCAAGCAGGGAGTGGTACTTGTTCTGCCCTGAGGGATTTAATTTAACTGAATAGGCATTATTTCCAAGATTAGGGGGGAAAAAATAATGTGGTTTGAAACGTATTTCCTTTCAGGTTAATGCTGGAACGATTTAGAAATAAAGCCAAAGTACCAGCTGGCCCAGCCAGAGATACAGCAGTGAAAGCAGCAGAGACATGATCCACTGCCAGCAGCTAATCGCAAAAGCTATGGAGCTGTGGTTTGCTCAGAACACCAGAGTGATGAAAAGGATGGCAGAAGGCAGGTTGTTTTGTAGCAGGAGACTCTGAACTCATGGACAGGCCAGGTCCAAGCAGGAGAAAGCAGATCTGAAGCCACTTCTGCTGCTGGGTCTGCAGCTTGTGTGGGCTGCTGCAGTGGGACTGATGTCTTTTCCCTTCTACCAGCTGCAGATCTTTGCTCAGTGCATGCTAATGTGAGGGTATGACAGCAGCAAAGTGTGTAAGTCTTGGAGGAATAAGCATCAGATTTACTCACCTGTTGTGGGACCAGACATGAGACTAACAGGAGCTCCTGTTTTTATCCCTGAGCTCTACTGTGGTTGCCCACGGACATCCAATATCACCCATAATGATGATGCAGCATGGCAGGAATTCAGTTGTGAGAGCTTGGGCAGGTAAGTGTTGAGCTGAGCTGATCTCTCTGGGTTGCTTTCCTGCCACTTGAAGCAAGGTGTGATTCTGCCCCTCACCTCATCCTACTTACAGAAGATGGGAATCAATCTCAAAAGACGTCTTACTTCTTTTAAAGACTGAGTTTATAAACACCAGAATGGGACAATCAGATCAGGAGAGCTTGAAGACAGAAGGGTGAAAGGATGCAGAGACCCAAGAAGCACCCAGATGAAGAAGAGGATGTGGAGAAAAGGAGTTGATGTGAAGGGGAAGGAAGAGCTTGGTGGATCCTGATGAAATAGGACTCTAGCCACAAGCTGGGGAAGCACTGAGAGGTTAGTGCACAAGCTGCTCTGCCCTCTACTTGCTTTTCCCAGTCTCCCAGAGGGTAAATGAAGTTGGTGGTTTTGATTTAATCCCTTGACCACATCACCCAAACCACGGCCTGCTCCAGAATGGCAGGACGTCTCTGTTCTGGCTAGTTGGTCTCAAGGACCCTGCACTGCAGATACAGAAAGCTGAATAACCTCATGCTGTGTTCAGGACTGTCTCAGCCCTTCCCACAGCTGTCCTCACTAAGCTGGCTGGTCCCCACTCTTCATCCTATCCTCAGACCCAGACCTTCCATGTCTAGGAGGCATCTATATGATTTTGAGAAGCTTTCCTTCCTGTTTTGCAGTGCCTCATTGCCCTGTAAAGAGTAGGATATAGTCCTGCCCTCAATCATAAATCCATCCTCTCAGCCCATGAATAATAGAGACCAGGTCTCAGCATGGTTCTCCCATGACTGCTGTAAAAAGAGAAACACCAGTGAATGGAAATAGGAAATGTCATCAGGGAAAGATGCTGGGCAGAACTGGGAATGTCACATTCTGTCAGTGTTTCTTGGTGAATAGTACAGTCTAAGTTGGTCTCCTTGATGCCCTTCCAATCCTATTTGCTCTCACTTTGCCTTGGGGAAGCCTTGTCATTCAAACAGAACAAGAAGAGTGGGAAGAAAATCTACCTGGGCAAAGCACAACTTTCATATTCATGCTAATTCATGCCAGAAGAAATTAACATGGATGACTGCATGCATTTGTGACCATATAGGGAAATATTTCTTTGGGATGGAGTGATACCATGACAGCTATAGAAGAGGACCTTTATCATCCTTGTCACTTCTAAACTGAAGGGGTCCACATATCTCCAGATCTCTCTGTGGAATGAGACAAACCCTTTACAGCTGGATTTCCAAGCCTGAGACCAACTGAACTCAAGGACTGTCCCCTCTGCCTAGACCAAGGCAGGGTCTGCAGGCTTAAGGTAGAAAAGCAGGTCTGTGCTCTCTGAGTTGCTGGAGAGATGCAAGATTGCTCCTTGATGACTACTGAATATGATGCCTGACCCTCCCGAAACTTGGAGGTCCCCTTCTTTGTTGATGGAACCCTGTGTCTATGCTCCACTCACTTGTTGAAATATTGAATGACAATGAAACAAAGTAGAGGTCACTCTGATATTGTGATTTGTCTTTGCTCACATCTTCAAGGGATGAGAAAAAGAAATGTGCTGTAAACCCCCACATTTCCTAGCGTGTAAGCCTAGCTACAATGCTGGCTTCTCCCTCATTTTGCCTTGTTCTTTGACAGCAGATGGTTTGTTTTAGTTTCATACCTTGCTATCTACAATGATTGTTTCACAATTATCAAGGATACGAAGCTTGATTTTTGCCCTTTCTTTTCCCTTTTACATTTAATTTAAATTGGAAGAGGGGAGATTTAGATGAGATCTGAGGAAGAAGTTCTTCCCTGTGATGGTGGTGAGGCCCTGGCACAGGTTGCCCAGAAGCTGTGGCTGCCCCATCCCTGGCAGTGTTCAAGGCCAGGTTGGACGGAGCTTGGAGCAACCTGGTCTGGTGGAAGGTGTCCTTGCCTGTGGCAGGGGGTTAGAACTGGATGAGCTTTAAGGCCCCTTCCAACCCAAACCATTCCATGGTTCTATGATTTTATGATTTTGTCTTGCAAAACAAGAGTCCAAAAGGGGTACGTAAGGGGTTCTCTTGTTAAAATGGACACCTTTTTCCTTTTATTCACAGATACAAGGAGGATCATCTGAGTACAGGACCTCTGGTCCCAAAATTATTTAAGAAAGTGTGTTTCAGTTATGTGACAGAGGACACCACTCAGAGTAACAGATGCATTTTACTCGATTCTTCACAGGAGATTCCAACTCCTTCCCCTTTGTCTCCCCTTTTGCATCTCTTAAAACCAATTCCCTCTTTCAGTTTTCTCTCTGGTTCTCAAAGCTTCAAGCACTGGTTTGTTTTTTTCATGTTTTTTTTTTTTTCAATTTTTTAAATTGTTTCTAGGAATACCCTCACTGGATGAGGGAGTTGAAGTTCAGTCTTTTGCTCAAGTACTCAGAATTTTCCTCAGACGAGACAGATGGTTGCAGTCAGCTGGGCCAACAATGCAAACAGATTTGTTTTAACGGACTCTGACACATATTCCCTTGTCATCCTCCCACGGTGGAAAGTACTGATAAGAAGTGCAGGAGAAAGATCTGTATCAAGTCATGAAATAAGAGCTCTAGAAAAAGAGTACTTTTATTTCTCACACCAGCAGCAAAAGAGCCTGGGGTTCTAAAACACAATATACCTCATGAGAGTGTGCCTGGGAGGAGGATGCTGACAGTCTTTATTCAACTCTCCAAACTTCATAAAAATGGGGTTTTCTCTATTTCACAGCTAACTAAATTTGCTTGTTTGAAACCAGGTCAGTATTATTAATGCTGAAGAATGAGACTCCCAGTGGAGTGTCTAATTGAAAGGCATTTAAGGCAACAATTATAAGCAAGGTTTATGAGTAAACACCTGCTATTAAGTAGTAAGAACTATTACCTCTATTAAGTAGTAATACAAGCAAAAAACATTCTGATGAGTTTGATCCATGAGTACTAATAATTGATGTGCCACTGTCACACCTCACTTTAGATGCTCAATATTAGGCAAAATAGAGATTCACATATAGAAATAACATATTGCGTATACTTATCCAATACCACAGATATGAATATCTTTTTCAAATCAAGCCAAAACAAACTTTTCCTGCATTGGTGTGTGCAAGTGTGCGTGTGTGTATGTGACTTGCAAAAACCCCCTCAAGAGCTGGAGGTTGCAATACCCTGCTCTGCACCTGAGTCAGACCTGTCCTGAATATGAAGTCATAGAGTGAGAGTGGGAGTTACTTACCTGAAGATCAATTAGATATTTAAAACCCTTTGTTGACTAAATAATGCTGGATGGTTTTGGAGTGTAGGGGTGGGGAGGAGAACACTGTTTTTAGAGTTTGGCCAGTCCTCCTGGCTTGTAGTGTGATGTGTGGCCCAAGGCAAAAATATCATAGAACCGTAACACTACTGTTGGACCACTGAAAAAATCAAGACAGTGCTGAGGAGCATCTAGAAATAAGGGAGGTTGATCTGGACAAAAGAGGTAGAGTGACAAAGAGCAATGCCAGGCTATAAATTGAAGTACATCATGCTCTAGGGTCTGCTGACTTCATGGACTAGATCTCCATATAAAGGTACTACACTGAGAACATCTCCTCTTCAGCACTGGAATCCCCTTATATCCCACCTGCCCTTGTAGCCCTCCCATGTTCCTCATAGTTCTTAAGTCTAGAATGGCCCAATATTGCCAGCCAATAAGATGTGGAGCTAAGTACAAGTTCAGGCAACCTATAAGGTCACTTAAAGGAATAGGGCCAGGACTTGGGAGCACATGCTCCTTGGTACAGCTAATGAATCACAACTTACCACCTACAGGGCACAGCATTTGCCAAGAGGAAAAAACAAACAACTCAGCTGGGGGTCCCAAATAATCTTTTACTAATTTGGCATTGAACTCTGAATATGTTCAGTACCTACATACCTTTGCAAATCTAAGCTTTTTAGGTAACTACATCTGCATCATTGGGAGTTTGAAAAATAAGTGGAAGTGACACCTTTACTGCCTCAGTTTCTCCCAGGCACAGCAAGCCTTCTCACATTTCCTACCATTATCTGTTTTGACTACCTCTATCTTTTCCGTGGATATATGTCTCACCAGGAGAGGGGGTGGTGGCAGGAGAGGAAAAGACAGATTTCAGAGCAGACTGATACAATGAGCGGTAACAAGCTGTAAAACATGAAGCTCGCTTCCACTGGTGTCAGGGGGGGAGCTCTCCTTGCAATGGGAACGAGAAAACAGCTTCTGCAGTCTGAATTGCTCCTCCACAGCCTTCCATTGGCAAATCATCAGCCTGTTTTGCTCAAAGGCTTGACTGAATTTCTAATGCAGCTGCTCCAGGCTGTAATTGATTTCTTTTTTGTGCCCTGCAGCTTAGAGACCTGGGACACCACAAAGCCTTTAGGTCAGACTAACCTCCTCCTTTTCAGAGCCCTGTGTGCATTTTGCTCTCTCAGTGCCAAACATGCAGATGTATCCAGCCTCAGCCAGAGACACACGTAGATATATCAGAGACTACAGGGAGCTGGCTTGGTGCAACCCTCTGTTCTCTCCTATTTGAGGAAGAAGTCAGCTGGAAGCTAAATTCATTTTTCCCATCTTTGATGTCCATACAGGGGCTTACTGGATGCTCCTCAGATGTTTCTGCTGCAACTGGTCAATACCACATCCCTCAGTCTCCTGTCCCAGTACTAGGGTTTGGGATTTACTTGTGCCAGGTCACGTCTGCTGGTGGGATGCTACCACATATGGACCACAGAATGATGAGGAATTTGTGCCCTGTGTATGCTGTGCCAAGGCTGTGGGCCAGGCAGGTATGGGCTGAATGCCATCTCCCCTCTCTGCACTCCGTGTGCCAGCAGTCACCGAAAGCAGAGACACCTTAGTGGCTCATATAGCTCACAGCAAAACAGCAGTATCTGTTCTCTCTGAGGTACATCTTCACATACCCTCCTGTGTGGGACATGCTGAGCAGCATGTCTGGCAGCTGAGGTCAGGTACTAGTGACTGATAGCAACACAGGGTTAAGCCATAGCAAGGACAAATGCCAGCATGGATTTGGTCAGGAAAATAGGCTGTCAGTGGGGGCAGTTGGCACGGTAGATGTCAGGCTGCTGTGCCTATGTGGTCCCATAAATATGCATCAATGGTCTTCATATCACCTAAATTTAGAGGTCAGTACAGAGAAATAAGCATTTCCAGAGGGCAAGAAATCACCTCTCAAACTAAATATCACCCAAATAAGTGGGCCTGTTAAGGCTTGGCTGTTGGCTATCCATGTGTCTGAGCATCTCTGCAGCCACAGGAAGAATATTGATTACGATTCTATGATTCTATGTTGTCTAGAGCAGAGGTGTTCTTTAGCCAAGTGGCAGACAATTGCACTTAGAAAAGATGCTACATGTCTGTGTGGTGAAGCAAACCATCCTGCACCATCCTCTGCCCCTGAGGTGCATGGGACAATCCACATCCTTGCTGTCAAAATCTTGCACTTTCTAAAAAAGAATGGCTGCATCCAAACTGTCATGTGGGAATGATGCCTGATGCACAATGGCTCAGCGAGGGAGAGGGCTCTTTCACTCAGGTGAAAAGCATCCAAGGAATGATGCTTGGCATTTAGTTTCTAAGGCAGTCATGAACCCAGACTCAGGAACCTTTCCAGTTTATAAATAAACTTATAGCAGTAGCCACGGATTTTTCAGGGTTGAAGTCAGAACTGCAGGGTCCAAAAGCAGGAAGCTGTGAAGTCTGGGCTAGGCTGATTTGGCCTCTGTTGAAAATATCTTTGGTACATGGAGACTCACCCTTCACTGTAAGTTCTTCTCACAAGACACAGGTTCAGAGCTACAGTGGAACCAAGATCTGCAGGTACCTAGAGGAATGCTGAGAGTTTAGATAGTGTTGTGGATTCAGGTCCAGTATCTAAATGACCTTGGCGAGAGCCAGTACAAGCTACAGACTCCTAGCAGGAGAGGGCATGTGAATTGCTGTGGTTTGTGCAGGGTGTTTGGGGTGGCCAGCCCTTCAAAACAGGCTGCACATAATCTTGTTGCTTTGATGCTAGCCTGAACTTCTCCTCAGCTGCACGTAGGCAAGTGCAAACAAACCTTCAGAGCAGGAAGGGAGGTTGGGATGGGAGGAGGGTTGCAAGAATTGGAGAGGACCTGAATTTCTGGCCAGCCAAAACCACTCCCACCCTCAGGGCTGAAACCCTAGCCCTACCCTGGTGCAGTAAAGCTCTGCGGCGGGTGGCATGGAAGAGTGTGCCCTAGTGGGATCTCCAGGGCGACTGCAACACAGTGCATGTATTCTCTGCAGCCCTGGAGCACACAACACCACTAATAGCTCTGGAGGAGCTGGCATGCCAGCATTCCTTAGCTGGTGCCAGGAAAGCTGTGCAGAGTACACAAGGATTTGGCTCTCCTCTGCAGTCACATTAGAGGCACTCTCAGGTCTTCCCAGCTTTTTCTGCAATAATACATCATCTGCTTCATTGTCCTAGGAGGCTTTGCAGAGTGCAGCATGTGGAGAAAGGTCTTGGGGGAATCAGCCCCTGTGCCATCACAGTGCATTTGCCCTTCATCACTGTGACTGAGAGTGTCACAGCAGATGTGCATAGGGTGAATTAGGCCTATCCATTGAGGACTGTCCTACACTAGAACACTGGCAACTTGGTTTCTATTCCTTGCTATGCTGGGTGAGCTTCCCCTCTTTTCCCCACTGTACAGCAGGGGTGAAACCCCTTCTCTGATACTGTCTTCTTTTATAGCTTAAGGAAAATCATTGCATGTCTGTGCACTTCAAACATTTTATCTTAGTGGACTCCTGAAGGCTTTATGATCATTAGCAAGTCTACATCTCGTATTCCACCTAAGATGTGCCACAAAGACCATCTGGTGTAGTGGAAAGGAAGATCTCATACTGAAGTTACTGTATGTAGCAGTATGTATGTATGTATGTATGTAACAGTCACATTTTTACCCAGATGACTAACAGACTGCCTATCACAATACCTGACAGTATCTCCCATTAGCATCTCTGGAAGCAAAGGTCCCAAGCAAAGAAACCCACAGCCAGCAAAGAAAGTCATCTCAGCATATCTTGCAAATATCTGGGACCTGAAAACAGAGAGCTGGAAACAGCTCTATGACTGCAGGAGTATAGATTTCTTAGGACTCCAAGAGGTCCTGGGAGCATGGATCCATTCTGGGTCCTAGTCCTAGGATGGTGGGAGAAAGCTCCTGCAGGAACAGAGGAAACATTCCAGCCCACATTCAGGTTTCTGCAGATGTGAATTTGCCTTTTTTTTTTTTTTCCTGAAGGAAATTCCCTCCCATTCATCTGGGAGCCTAGATGCTTGCCCAGGACTTGCTGAATATTCAGCCAAACCATTAGACTAGGCTGATGCCTTTTGCATGTGGATAATTACCTGCTGGAGAAGACAGGAATGGGCTGGTCCTGCTCATTGTGAGTCAGTGCGATAAGAACAGACAGCAAAATACAACTGCTCAAGCAGTCAGAGCCTTATGGATCCTGTAGCTGTTGCACCAGAGGATGCTGACACCAACAAGCTTGTCATTCCTGGAGAGCAGCTGCAGAGCACTCTCATGGTACTCAGCTTTCCAGGAAAAACAGGTTTCTCTTGTCTACAATGTATTCATGAAATCAACTGAGACCACTGTGACAGCAAAACTCCTTCAAATCAAGGTAGTTTCTAGTAGCAATAAAAAAAACAAAACAACCCAAACACCTGTTTTTAGTTTGAAGGTGTGTTTTCTCTGTAGGAGATTAGAAGTAATATCAGCAAAAGCTTGTCACATTTCAACCAGCAGACCAGGAAACTAACAAGTCTCTGCAGCAGCATCCAGGACAGCAGCTGCACTCAGTGTGTCAGTTAATGAATATGGCCCAGATTAATCCCAAACTAGATGGGAAAAAAACCCAAAGGCACTCAAATCCTATGCTCTGAAGTCCACAGGGACTTGTTGTATCTGAAGAATCACTCTGCAACAATCAGTTCTCACAAAAGAAAAAAGTCTTCTTGTTGAGCAACTTTTTGTGAGCCCACATTTTGGCCCAAAATAAAGTGAGTGGGATGGAAGTCCTTATGGCACCTCATATGACTCTACAGCGTGGACTGAAGATCAAGCCTCTAAGTGGTAAGTAGTCATACGACCCCAGGCATTGTCTGACTGTCAACCCCACTGCAGCCCGCCCCAGCAAAAAATGTCCACACTATGCCTATGTGGAGCCAGCTTGGATGGAATAGTTGAAGGCTAGGTTGGATGAGGCTTTGAGCAATCTGGTCTAGTAAAAGGTGTCCCTGACTGTGGCAGGGGGGTTGGAACCAGATGATCTTTAAGGTCCCTTCTAACCTAACCATTCTATGATTCTATGATCTCCCAGCAGAGTAGCCTGGTCCAGCCTGTTCCCTGGAAGAAAAGAGCAGAAAATTGCTCCTAGCTTGTGCCAAGATTTCCAAGGTGATCCTGGTTTTTGGTGGTTTTTTGATTTTTGTTTTTTTTGTGTGTGTGAAACCCATAGCATTTACTCTGGCAGAAAATAGTTAAAAGGGGTCATAGTGGAAAACCATATTATTATTACAGTCTTGACATGTCTTGCCCCTCTGGGTTTTCCCACCTTATTCTCCAGCCCCACTGCAGCTCCAACACATTGGTCTTCCTCCATGACATCGCCATGCTCCCACTGCCCACTGGTGAGCTCCCAGCACTTGCTGGTAGTTGCAGGCACTGAGCCATCAGGCCTATTTTCACTGAATGGCATCCTAAATTGGGGTCTCAGTAACTCCTGGGCTTATGTGCGCTTCTCGGTTGGACTAAAATGTGATGTTGTTTATTTGGCTGTAATGATTTGTGATAGTCAGACGTTGCCTGGGGAAGAGAGACAGCCTCTTCTTTCCATGTTCTGGAGTTTACCCAGATGGGTAGAGCAGATCCAGATCAGGGGAGCAGGTTGGGTGTGATGGACCCTTTGCCTGTCCAGGCACCCCTCAGCCTTGCACCCCAGCATGGCAAACTAGGCCAGCTAGGAGTATAGAGATCACTGAAGACTGGATAAAACTGGAAGCCACCTGCAGGTGTTTTGGGAAAACTGAGAGATAACGTGAAATTGTCATTCTGGGGTAGATATTTTCAACAGGTGGTTTCCAACCCTTCATTCATTCGAAAATTGCAGGCTGAGGTTAAAGATTCTCTCCAGCCCTAATTCCCTCCACTCCAACTTGCTGGTTTTAATGGTAATATTGGAAATACTTGCAATCTCTTCAAATGTCCACTTCCCTGGATCTGATGGCAGCTCTTGGTTTCCATACCTCTCTTGTAACAACAAATTCCTTAGTTTGGTAAACCTTTGAAGCATTCTAGATGTCTTATTTGTCTTTCTGTTGAATTTGCTCAGAAAATACCTTTCATCTTTTGCTATGAGACGCAAGACAGATGTCCCTGGGCACCTTTGCCTCATAGGTATGTCTGTTCTCAGCCCTGTCTGCAGATTGTGTGATGCCTTTGCTCCATGAGTCAATGCTCATTTGACCCATCTATGACCCAAGTGACTGATTTCAGTGGACGGTGATGCTCCAGACTAACCATAAACAGAGGCAAAATCAGGCTTAGGCAGATCTCCATGAAAAGCACAAGAAGTGGGGTAAGGTAGGCTATCTGAAGAAATAATATACCCTGCTGTATAAGCCCCAATGGGCAAACATGATGGATCTTATATCAAGTAAGCAACCGTGTAAAATTACACAGTTGACAAAAGTTGAAGCAATAAAAGTAGGCAAAAATAAGGGATTGTTATAGGTTTCCAAAAATGGTGGAAGGGAC